AGGGAAAGAAAGAAATAAAGTTGCACTAACCTTCAGCCGAGTTACAGGCGTTTTCAAAGAAATTAAAGGTGGACAGTGTCGTAATTCAATGAAGGACAAAGTTCCCAAGATTTTTAGAAAAGCAAAGAGGAGTCCAGCCTGTCAAATCTCCTCCCTGAAATACAGACACAGAAAGCTTCAGAGTGACTTTCTGGACAGACTCCGACAGGCATCTGTAGACCAACCAGGCAGGCCCTTCTATGCCCTCCGTGATTGTTTCTTTGGAAATTTGTGTGTAGCCTTCACCAAACTTAGCAGTTAAAATGAATGTATAAAAGAGATGGCCGGAAACAACAGAAAATGCCACCCATTGCACTGTGTAAATCCTTGCAGAGATGGGTTTCTGAAGAAGCAAAGGTATTCTATGTACTTATTTAATACTTAGATGTAATAAATTGGCCCCTTTGCTAGAGTGTATGGGGGTGGTGGGAGGGGAATGTCACTTCCATTTTAGTTTAATTCAAACCCAAATAAGAAGAAACTAGAGTTTAATAAAATACAGCATTGGAACTTTCTCTGAATTTTTTCCATGGTGCAATTGGCTTTTCTTTTGGGAGGGAGAAAAAAAGTGAAGTTAATAATATAAAATAAGAAAACAATCTCTGCCTCTATCCCTGTGTTATGAAATGTTAGAAAGGCCTGGGCAGCCCTGAAGGCAATCTGAATAAAAGCATCAGGCTTTCTTAAGAGCTTCTGATAGAGCACTGGGATTGGGGATGCAGGTGAACTGGCATTCACTTTTGCAGAAAACCTGTCTTTCAACATCTTTAATGGCCAAGAGGTAGGAATAGGGGACCCTACTTTTCCAGGAGCATCTTATGTCAATCTCAAATGGAAGGCAATGCTGCTTATCTGGCATTGGCACCAATGTTAGAAGAGCTTTCCATCATAGAAAGCTTCCCTATACAGCCTTCCACAGTCTGTCTTGCTGGAACAAGGCATTCTTGTGTCCTAGTAATTTTCAGGTGTTCCCACTTGGAAGGTATTCAAGAGTACAGACAATCTTATTGCTAATGAAAAAAGAAGCTAAACATCTACTTCTGTTCTCATCGACACTCCCCCCACCCCACCCCCCGCCAGAATAATCTTGCTTCATGGGGGAGGGAAGTTACCAAAAAAAGTAGAAAGAAAGGGGACTCTTGACCGCCACTACCCTTGAGAGACATGCTTGTGCTGGATATTAACCCTGTGGTAACTTCACAGCTTCATAACTGTACTCTACATATTCTCTCTGTCTCTGTCTCTGTTTCTCCTGACACACTCACATACACAAGCACGGCATAGTCAAAACCAGAAATTTCAGACAACTTAGTAACAGGACACTCTACACCCCCGCCCCCCATAGACACACACACCCCTTACTCAACAATACCCAGGAAGCACTGGCATGCTGGCCAGCCGCTATGACACAGTTCCCAAGCAACACGTAATCTGAAGAACTTTCTCTTCCCTTGTTACTTTGTGGGCACCGTCCAGGCCCCTCTTAGGCACAGAACTTGGAGTCTCCGTGTCCAAAGGCCACAATCAATTCCTCACTAAGAGCAAACTTTGTGCACATTTCCGCGGGCAGGTCCACAGCTCCCCGAACTATGCAAGTCTCTTTTCCATGTCTACCAATGAGGAGCCTGGAAGCCTGGGTTGGGAGCCAGCTCCCTGCTAGTGCCAAAGCTGGAGTTCCGACAAATGCCCTCTGTAGCTGCGCGCACCTACTCCCCATCCTCTGGCCCCACTCGCGCTCCGCGCCTCTGGCTCCCACTTCCAGAGAACCTGTACCACACATGTGGAAAGAAGAGATGTGCAAAAGAAGAAAGAAAGAAGAAGAAGAAGACGAAGAAGACGAAGACGAAGACAGAAGAAGAAGAAGAAGAAGAAGAAGAAGAAGAAGAAGAAGAAGAAGAAGAAGAAGAAGAAGAAGAGGAAGAAGAAGAAGAAGAAGAAGAAGAAGAAGAAGAAGAAGAAGAAGAAGAAGAAGAAGAAGAAGAAGAAGAAGAAGAAGAAGAAGAAGAAGAAGAAGAAGAAGAAGAAGAAGAAGAAGAAGAAGAAGAAGAAGAAGAAGAAGAAGAAGAAGAAGAAGAAGAAGAAGAAGAAGAAGAAGAAGAAGAAGAAGAAGAAGAAGAAGAAGAAGAAGAAGAAGAAGAAGAAGAAGAAGAAGAAGAAGAAGAAGAAGAAGAAGAAGAAGAAGAAGAAGAAGAAGAAGAAGAAGAAGAAGAAGAAGAAGAAGAAGAAGAAGAAGAAGAAGAAGAAGAAGAAGAAGAAGAAGAAGAAGAAGAAGAAGAAGAAGAAGAAGAAGAAGAAGAAGAAGAAGAAGAAGAAGAAGAAGAAGAAGAAGAAGAAGAAGAAGAAGAAGAAGAAGAAGAAGAAGAAGAAGAAGAAGAAGAAGAAGAAGAAGAAGAAGAAGAAGAAGAAGAAGAAGAAGAAGAAGAAGAAGAAGAAGAAGAAGAAGAAGAAGAAGAAGAAGAAGAAGAAGAAGAAGAAGAAGAAGAAGAAGAAGAAGAAGAAGAAGAAGAAGAAGAAGAAGAAGAAGAAGAAGAAGAAGAAGAAGAAGAAGAAGAAGAAGAAGAAGAAGAAGAAGAAGAAGAAGAAGAAGAAGAAGAAGAAGAAGAAGAAGAAGAAGAAGAAGAAGAAGAAGAAGAAGAAGAAGAAGAAGAAGAAGAAGAAGAAGAAGAAGAAGAAGAAGAAGAAGAAGAAGAAGAAGAAGAAGAAGAAGAAGAAGAAGAAGAAGAAGAAGAAGAAGAAGAAGAAGAAGAAGAAGAAGAAGAAAGAGAAGGAGAAGAAAGAGAAGGAGAAGGAGAAGAAGAAAGAGAAGAAGAAGGGAAGCTGTACGGGATGCACCTACTCACTTAGGAGTTCACAGCGTCTCTCTTCATTCATTCAACTCGGCCGAAGTGTAGTTCCCTCTGGATGCCCGGGTTCAGGGTCAGGGAGGGGCGGGCGAGAGGGACGAAGAGATCCCAGAGGCCGAGAGCCGGAAAGGAGCAGGGGAAGGCGGCCGGCAGGCTGGGCTGGCGAGCGGGACTGCGGAGCCGTGAACGAGCCGCCGGGCGGACTGGCCCTGGCCGCCAATGTGCCTTTGTTTATGTGGCTCGCACTGCTGCTGCCAACATGCACCTAAAGTCTCCGCGCGTCAGCGCGCGTCAGCGGCCCGCCGCCCAATCACCGCGCTGCCGCGCTCCCCAGACTCCTGGCCGGCGCTCGCTTTGGTATATTTCCGACCTGACGTCACGAGCAGGGCCGATTTTAAGGTGGGAACCATTCTGGGTTCACCTTGGTAGTCAGCTTGGTTTTCTTTTCTTCTTCTTCTTCTTCTTCTTCTTTTTTTTTTTTTTTTCCGAAAGAAGTGTGACCTCTCCAGTTAGGTCCTCTCAGCTCACAGAGCCGCAACATCTCACCCACCTCCCCCAACCCCCCTAGCCACCGCTCCGCCCAACCGCTCACACGTGGGGGAGGGTGCAACAAAAGCCAGAGCGCAGGGAACCCTGTGGTAAGCCAGGTAGCCAGCACCTAGAATCGCACGGGATGGGGTGTGCCTGGCAGCGCCCTAACCTCACCCACCCACAGTCGTCACCCCCATTAGCGGAAGCGCGTACAGAAGTCCCATGACATGAGATACTCAGAGGGCTCAGGCAGTCGGGTTGGGATTTCCCTAGATCCGTGCAGCATTCCCCTCTTCTCCCTTTCCCTGTCCCTGGCCGCCGTCACCTGCATATTCATATTCTCTCTCTCTTCTCTCTTCTCTCTTCTCTCTCTCTCTCTCTCTCCCTCCCTCCCTCGTACACACACACACACACACACACACACACACACACAGTCCAAGGTGGAAGGCAATGGGCAGGGGCTATTTTCTGTGTTCCTTTCCTTTCAGTGCTCACGTGCGAGGGAAAACGTGGTGCGTGGGGAAGGGAGGAGAGGGAACGGGAGGGGTTAGGCAACAATCCAGCCCTTATGGGACCCCAAAAGTCAAAGTGAGGAGTCATCCACTTTTCTTTTGCAGACAATGCAGCCAAGCAGTCGGCAACAGGTGCGCCTTCTGCAGAAAGGTTATCTAATTTCACCTTTTGCCAACTCTAATACTTTCGACACTCCTCTGTGCCCACCACTAACTCCTATCCTCCCACGAGTTTTAGGGAAATAAGTCGACCCTCCTCTGAAGCACAAGGGCTCTCATAGCCTCCAACTGAAGACAAAACATGGGGAGAAGAAGGTAGAGTAGCTCAGGTGAGCATCAAGTGTGAGCGTCCAGCCCTACCAGGAGATCGGCCCTGGCGGGCTGTGGGAGCGTGCCGCACGCCCGCGGCCCTGCGAGTAGCCGCACATTCCGCTTGGCAAGTCAATCCACCCGCCACGCTGAGGGCGAGAGGAGCTTTCTAGCAAAGGAAACGCTGCTTCTCTCAGGAGCGGACCCCCTTGCCGGTGCCACGGCCTGAGCTGGGAGGGTCTCTGAGGGCTTCTCCCTTGGGGCTAGGAGAGGCGGGGAAGAGGGGAGGGAGGGTTCAGGGGCGTCTCCCCTCTCTGCCCGCAGAGTTCCAGCCTCCTCGCCTCCCACAGCGGGGCTCGCTTCCAGGCCACCGGGGCGCCTTTGACAACCTCCCCACCCCCATCCTGTAAAAGCTGAAAGCGCGGTGGAACTATCCACGGACCGAAGAGCTCAACTCTAATCAACAACCCCGCCTCTTTCCGCTCCCCGCCGCCTCCTGTTCCCCAGTGGCAGGAGAGGCGTAGACATCAGTTGCCCTGCTGCTGCCCGGGAAGCCACAAGTTCCTCTGCGCGGCAGCTTCGGGAAAACCTGCGTGACCACCTTAAGTTTCCCCCAGATGTTGCGACTGCCGCTGCTGCTGCTGCTGCTGCTGCTGCCGCCTCCGCCGCTCAGCGTGCCCTAGCGGACGCGAGAAAAAATAAAACCAGGAAGTGTGTGCGCGCCTGTGTGTGTGTGTGTGTGTGTGTGCGCGCGCGCGCGCGCGTTGGGGGCGGGGGAACTGTGGTGGCGAGTGAGGGTGTGTGAGTAGGGGGGTTAGGGGAGGAGTGCGAAGAATAGCTTATTAGCATGAGCTCTGTAGCGTCAGAGAGCCGTGGGCAGAAGCGATTCCACGCGAACGAAAGGGAAAAAGTGAGAGTTTGGAGAGCAGGGGAGAAGGAAAGGGGTGGGGGTGGCGGTGACGCAGGGGCGCAAGCATTGACGCACCCGCTCGGCTGGGCCCAAAATAGCAGTAGCTCTAGCTCGGTGGCGCCCTCCCGGGATCCCTTCCCCTTCCGCCAGCGGGGCGCGGCCAGGGGGAGCTTTCCTTGATCCCAGCGGAGGGCCAGGCTCCCGGCAGCTATTTTCAGGCAGTCGGAAATTCAAGCGCAGCCACGCTGGGGTGGCAGTTATTAGTTTTTAATATATTCCTAGGAAAGCGGGGGCCGGGAGAACTTTAAGGTTGTAACCATTATCCTCCATACACAAAATAGGCACATCTAAGTAGATCAATTTCCCCCACACGCCCCTCTTCCCTTATTGCCATTAAAAATAATCAAACAAAACAAACAAAAACCTTGGCTTTAGCCTCGGTTGACTCTGGGCACAACTTGAGAAATTTGTACGAGTATGGAAAAGTGTTCTGGAGTACTTAAAAGGAGTTCCAAGGAAGACATACTGTGATGCGTTATTCTACAACAGCAAACTGTCGAGTCTGGCCTCTTGATAACACAGCCTTTGTCCAAATCTTAATGCACCCAAGATGGAGAGGCAGTTACCACAGCAGCTTATAATAATTATTTTTAACTAGAAATGGAGTGATTATATATAACATTAAAATGAGAGAAAAGGTGGACTTTTTCCTTACTGTCCTACAATTCGTATGAGTTCCCTCTCTCCTCTTCAAATTCCTCTTCTAGTTCCTGGTAAGAGTTACTTCTTAGGAAGAGACACTCTGGATGCAAGACCGATAAATTCATTTAAACCAATTATTGGATAAGCTACTTTTGAGATTGGCATTTTGGATAGGTTTCGGATGTGCTTGGCGTGGAGAGGATCCAGCACAGGCAACAGAAAGTGTACAAGAAGGACCACACTCAAAACTCCATATCCTTGTGTCTCCACCAGATTCTGATGGAACAAAGTCTCAGTAGAACCGCCCATGTTTGTAATTGACTGATCCTGTCAGTAGGGGGCCTGACTCCACAACGTGGGAGAGGATAACACCACACACACACACACACACACACACGCACGCACACGCACACGCACACAACCCTAGCTATTTACTATTTAGGCTAAGCCAGAGGAGAGCATGCTGCAGGCCCAAATATTCAATATTGTGGTGGAATTCATAAACAACTACAAATCTTTGAGTCTCTTCAATTTTTCTGGGAAAGGGAAACAGTTTAACACATGGAATTAGGTTCACAAGAGATTTTCTTTATTTCTTCCTGCTCATGTTTAACTTACTGTTAGGTCACAAGTTGAAAAATATCAAAATGTTGATAAAATCTCTCATTTTATCACCAAGCAGCTCAAATTGGTGTACGGTTTGGGAAAATGAAAGCACGTTTTAAAATCCTATGATTACATGTTTAAATAAATTATGGTTTAGAAGAGGATTCCTGTGGGTGTAGTTGCTAGTACATAAGAGAATGCTTTTGTGCATAGGGGCTTAATTACACATATAATGGAATCAAAATGTAGACTTGAACAATTTTAGAAAATATTAAAATGATGCTTTAGGCTAAAAGAAATTGAAATTCTGCATTTATATGACTGCAATCCTTCAAGATTCTTGAACATAAATAAATTTTTGAATATAAACTATCTTGTAACTCAATTAAAATGACAATAATTTTTTTAGGGCCCAGAATCTAATATAATTTTAAATTACTGCCACGTATAAATGTATAAAGTTACCCCAAAATGGTGGTCTATTTTATTAACAATTTAAAATAAATGAGAGTGAAAATTGGCCCTATCCATAAGTAGCTGCTTTTTTTGAAACCAACTAAAATAAATTTAAAAATTATTATCACTATCAATATATACTACTATTAGATGACCTCAGAAAAGCATTTAGGAAAGCAATGTTACTATCATCTTTTATCATAGTAACCAATATTAAGCAGAACATATCGGCATATAACAATTTAAAATAAATGAGAGTGAAAATTGGCCCTATCCATAAGTAGCTACTTTTTTTTGAAACCAACTAAAATAAATTTAAAAATTATTATCACTATCAATATATACTACTATTAGATGACCTCAGAAAAGCATTTAGGAAAGCAATGTTACTATCATCTTTTATCATAGTAACCAATATTAAGCAGAACATATCGGCATATATATGGAAAAATATCTTTATAAAAAAATCAATATAATGCATACATTCATATCTAAACCAAAGTATTTTACTTTATGCATGGCTAGGCAGATTATACTTAATAAAATCGAGCTTTCGGTATAATTTAGAAAGCAAACATGAATGTAATCTCATAGGATTTTCTTTCTTAATGCATGGAAAAGGGCCTTTTATGGATTTACTTCACTAGTCTCCCAAAATGAACTCAGAGTAGCCCGTACAGTTCAGATATGGTAAACATGCATAATTTTTATGTTGTAAGAATAAAGATTCTCTGTAACTGTAGAATTTCATACTAAAATTACTTAATAGTACCTATTTTAAGCATTAAAATGAGATATATTTTAAGTTATATTTGCACAAACATATTTATGGCATTTGTTGCCATTTGGCAGGAAGTTTTACTGTAGTAGTAAAAAATTTTTTCACTTTGAAAAAAATCTGTTTCTGAAAATACAAAATCTTTTCTTAATATCGAAGGTTTTTGGTTTTTTGCTTTTGCCGTTTCATTTGCATTCATAGAATATTAATAAACTGATAACTTTGTTTCTTTCCTATAGGATGCTTAGAGAACAAGTCAATTGTGTAGCTGATATTCACATTTGGGGTTGCTGTGGATTTTACTTTATTTTACTCAGCCCATTTTTCACCAAAACCCACTTAACGCAGATTTTAAAAATTCTTGCTTCAATTCAGAACTCAGTTCTAGAAATGTGTAAAGACGTGCAGAAGAAAACATAATTTTTTTTCTAGAAGCATCTACTTTTAAATTAAAATTATAAAACTGAACATATGGTAAAACCTCATGCCACTCAAAAAGTATTTTGCATAATAAAAATCCTTCATCTTTTCTCTACTGCTTGACTCTCTGTAATCATCTCCTAAATATTTGCTTTTAAATTAAGCACTTACTAGTTTATTTCGTGGTAAGATAATCATAATATAATTTTTACCACCTTAACCATTTTAAGTGTATAGTTCAGTGGTGTTAAATACAGTTAGCCATCCATCCTCATAATTCTTCATCTTATAAAACTGAAACTCTATACCGCTTAAACAATAACTCTATACCCATGAAACAATAACTTTATTTTCCCCTCCTCCCGGCCCCTGGCAACCACTAATATTTTCTTCTGTAACAATTCTTTTTGATTAAGCAAAGAAGGGTAACTTTGGTCTTAGATTTCATTGTTAATTTCAGTAAACATGGGGATCATTACAATGTACAAAATCCAAAGACATTTTAAAGATTCTGAAAATAAATTGCTACATGCCAAGAAAACATCCAGGACACATGAAAATTTAAAAGTAACTATTAACATCAGTAAGCATCACAGTGTTATATAGCATTTTCTTTAAGTAGATAAAATATATACACGTTGCAACAGTTTTTATGTGTATATCTTAGCTGGCTAGTTTTGTTTTACCTTTAACAACAAAGTAACTACTTTTGATTTTTTTTCCTCAGACTAACTGATGGGTAGGAACCTCTAAATTTAATAAAAAATAAAGATACAGCACTAATATATGACAACAAAGACATGTATGCCTTTTCTATTCATAATTCTGCAATTATCAAGCCTACAATTTTAACATTACAAAAGTAACTTATAGCAAGGACCCTTATAGTGATAAGTAATAAATCTAATTATCATATCCTTTGAATAGATGTAATATAAATTTCATTGCTCACTTAAAAGTTCTAAAGTTAACAGCATAAACTTGAAGTTGAGTAATTAAGTAATCCTTATATAGACACTTATTAAAGTATTTATACATATTATCTTAAATCTACATCTATCATTTTGCCAATTAAAATTAGGACTTTAATTGCAATTAAGTAATTTAATTGCCAATTGAACAGCAAAATTGCTAAGTGACTAATTTTAATGCCTATTTTAATTACCAATCATGACTGGGGAGGGAGCTAATCAAGTTACATCAAGCAGTACCAGAGTAATGATGTGAAGAAAAAAAAAAGAAGAACAAACATTCAAGGCTACATGCATTAAAAAAAGAAGCATAAATTAAATAAATGCAAACACAATCTTATATATGTATAAAAATACTGTATTTCAATATCTGAATACAGAACATGAAAGAGAGAGCAAGATTAATTAAAGAAGCCCCTGTCAATCTTCAAAGTAAAGAAAACCAAGTCAAATTTTTATGTGATATTTACATGGCACTCACACTAACCCAGATAAAAACAAAGCTGCATATAGCTGAGAATAAAAGACTGTTTCCTCCTTGGCTAGTTAAATATTTAGATTGAGGGTTTTTTTTTTTTAATTCTTTAAAACTGAAATGCTATAAAAAAGAAAAACAAAGTTTCCAATGCAGCAATGTGAGGATTTAAATTTGAAAAGCAAACAGGACCAGTGCAGTGGGACTATATTCTCTTTCCTGCTGGCTCTCCTCCCCACAACCCTTCACCTGAATGAAGAGTTCTATTAAAGACCTAATTCCTATCCATAACTTGTCCCATGTTACCTTGAGAAGTGCCGTAGTATGCCCTATCTTAAATGTTTTAAAATATGTTTGTGAGTAAAGAAGAAGAAGAAGGAGAAGGAGAAGGAGAAGGAGAAGGAGAAGGAGAAGGAGAAGGAGAAGGAGAAGGAGAAGGAGAAGGAGAGGGAGAAGGAGAAGGAGAAGGAGAAGGAGAAGGAGAAGGAGAAGGAGAAGGAGAAGGAGAAGGAGAAGGAGAAGGAGAAGGAGAAGAAGAAATCAGCTAGGATTGCATCACAATTAAAATTACTTAGAACACAGGGGATATACCTTGTCTTAATAGTATTTCTTCATTTTGCAGTTAAAATAAACATGCCAGCTCAAGATAAAGGCTGTAAACCAGCAGGCAACCAGAAACACTGGTGAAAATATTCTTGGCCAATACAAACACATTTTCAAAAGTTTTCATATCCAAACTAATTCTCGGATTAGCAATATGGAAGGCAATATTAAAAGAGGGAGGTAGAGCTGAGCTCAAAAAAATAGAAAGCGATTCCCTGATAGACAATAACAATGCTAGTATTTTCCAGCTATAGGGATCACCTTGGCAGACAGCCACCTCATTTAGAGTAACAATAGAAATCCATCAAATCTTCATATAAAATAAAAGTCATGATGCAAGATGCATATCTCGGTTTTGTGTGTGTGTGTGTGTGTGTGTGTGTGTGTGTGTGTCCCAAAAATATACATAGTGTATATCTACAAAAAGGCCTGAAATTACTCATGAATTATATGTAATGTTATAACTTGAAGAAAAGCAAATAGTGCTGCTTAGGATGTTATTACTAATGGACATGAATTCTGAAATGAAGCACAGCAGGACTTTTGGCCTGGCTTTTGAAGGGGGAACACGTTAATAATCACAGGGCCTAACAGGCTGCAATATCTGCTCATGACAATAACAGCTTTATAGGCGAGTTCTTTGTGACTGATTAAAGGACACACTCACTGTCTATTCAGCAGTCGTGGAGATGGAGTCGTTATTGACAAGCTAACTACTGATCAAGGTTAAAATTCATTGAGTACTGATGCTAAACGGAGAAATAAAATCTCAATCATTAAAAGACTACCAAAAACACACCTCAGAAAAGGTTGCCATAACTCAGCCATATCTTATTTTTTTCTGCATAAGATTTTCTGCTATACACATACACGAAAGATCTTATATTACTTGATAATAATTATCAAAATGATTACACTAACTCAAGCACTAAGTAACAAATTATCAGCCATTACCGAAGGAGAAAAAAAGAAGAAACATTATCTTGTAATTTCAAAATGATTCTGAAAGGACATGACAAACTTTCAAAATGTTAACTTTCTGAAACTGGACATTACTGAAAATATACTTTTTAGACTATTTATGTCTATTTTGAATATTTTGTTAGTCTATGAGTTCACACGAATTAATGTGGTTTACATATTGTTGGAAGCAAAATCTTTTAAAAGATAATATGTCTATAGCTTTCATATATTCCTTAATAGCTAAAAGTAAAAACATTCTAGTAAGTTATTTTACTTTTGTTAGCCTTAAGTTTCTTATTGTTCAGTGTTGCCTCTGCATTAGTGAAGGAAAAAGGAGGGATACAGTAAAAGACAACCATGTTTACAATTTGAAATTAGAGTCAATAAATTAAGCATATTACTAGTCACCAGGATATTTAAAAATAAGACCTGTGAAATATTACAGAATCATTCCACTAAGATCTAAACAGTGAGTTCAGTATGCTGTCAGTGACATGTTGGGGGAAAAAACAAATGACCACTAGCACAACATACATGATTCAAGTTGAAGTAGACACATAGTGAGTGTGTATGGAGAGGTGTGTATAGAAAATGGTTTGCTGAGGAGAGCCTCCTTATATTTATGTTTCATATTTCTAAGCACTGTTTTCTGTAACTTTCCAAAGTTGAAGATAATTGCCTTTGAAAACATAATTTCAAATAGTTTACAATAGATTTAGGAGTTATATTGAAAGGACTTTCAGTACACCTGTTTTTCCTAAGAGTCCTTTAATTTTCTGGGTTCCAAAAGCATGGTGTTCCTACAAATTACTAACTCTTAAGTAACCAGCTCTGGAAATCAATTTTCCATTTCTCCATAAACTCACTGATTACTACTTGGTGGGCTGATTGGCGATTTCCAAGACAACAGTTTTGCTAAACTTTACATACTTTGTATCATCTAGAGGTGTGAGTGGGACGGCAATACAGAAACATATTTCACACCAGGATGATTTGACAGGGCCCCTCAAACTACAAATAGATGTAGAATTCGAAATGCGGTTCTGTAACTCAATTTATATCACTGAAACTGTGAGATGCTATCTTCCTGTTGTTATAACGTATCTAGGTCAAGGGATATAAATTGTACCAGGTTAATTCATTTTGCTGTTCAGAGAGTCATTAAGTTCCTCCCAGAATATATGTGATTGATATCCCTAGAGGTGAAAGGCTAAAAGAACCATATGGCAACATGTTGCATTCCGTATGCTATCTGCCCATCCGTGCTTAAGCTGCCATTAGCAACATCTGTACTTTACGGAAATCCAGCTGCGCCAACTCCGGCTGACGGAATTGTACTTGGGGGGGAAATCTAGCTTAGCACCATTAACTTGAGACTTAGAGTCTATCTACCAGGACGGATGGAAGCTTTCACAATTAGACGAGACGACACAAATGCTTTATTAAAGTTTAATTTTGAACTCCCAATTAGCGAAACTGCATTACAAATCGATTGCAATTTCCTAGAAGGCTCAGCAAGTTCTCTGCCTGCCTGCCACGTGCGAGAGGCTCCAGAGCACGCTTTCCCAGCTCCCTGTAGCTGAAAGGGAAGGGTTCAGAGCTGGGTTCTCCATATCCCAGGATGTCCCTAAAATCCACGCCAGCCCCTCCTTCCGCTGGGCAGGGGAGTAATAGGGCAGATCTCGGGTGCGGCGGGTGACGAGAGGGGATGATTCCAAAGTCCAAGGCATCAGGGGGGAGGCGAGGGGTGGGAGTAAATGGGGGAGGGGCAGCGGGAAGCTGGGAGTGGGGTGTCCTCTAGCATCTTGGACTCTCGGGAAGAGCCACATCTAGTCAGCCACGCAGAAGTTTCTCTTTCGCTCTTCGCGCTACACACCCGGATTGGCTTCCTGCGCTCAGGCCGGGGGTGGGAGGAGGAAGGCGTGGGGGACAGGAGTCCCGGAAGGACTGCCTGGAGTTTACACCAGCTCCCCTCCCCCACTCCAAACAAAGCCCCCGCTCTGGGTCCAGGATACGTTACCTGCCCGGCGCTCCCGGCCCCTCGGTCACTGCATCACCCGCTGGGCGCGCCTTGTGTGGGTCCCGCTCCTCGGGACGCAAGAAGTGGTTGTCCCGACCAGCTAAATCCCCCTCACTCCTTGTGTTAGGGGAGGGAGGGGGAAATGGGGTAAGTAGAAGCGGAGGCAGGGCCAAAGGGAACTTACTGATATTTAAATAAAAAAATAATTTAAAAAAAAAGAAAAAGCAGTTGGCGGGGTCCGGCCAGGGGCAGAAAAAGCTGGTCAGCTTTCAGGGGGTCGCGGGCAGGAGAGTAATGGGTCCGGGAGCGGCCACCCGCCCCCCTCCCCCGGCCCCCAGCGGCGGCGGCAGCTGCACACACAGAAGCCCATTGTCGCCAGCTCCCGGCGCGCAGCCCCGCGGACTCGGCCCCGCGGCCAAGCGCGTCAGCGGCCCCGTCAGCCGGGCCGGGCTCCGTGACGCGCGCACAGCCCGCTCTATAAATAACCCGCCTCTGGGTGACTCGGGCTGCTTTCCAGTGACGCCGGGGGCGAGGAGAGAGAGGAGGAAGGAGGAGGGCGATGGAAACAATAAAACCACCCTCTGGCCTCCCCGGCCTCCCCAGCCTCCCTCCGCCCTCCACGCCGCGCTCCTCCGGCCACTTAGCGAACGCCGCTCGGGAGTGGGAAGGACCTAGCCGCGCCGGCGTCCTCTCATTCTGGCGGGACACCCGAGGATCAGGACCCAACGGGGATAACTTCAACGCGGGGAAACGAGAAAGGGGAGGGAGCTTGGCCAACAGTTTAGAAAGAGGGTCGCTGAACTTACTCCCAGATTGATTTAGACCTCGATGTTTTTTCTCTGTTCTCCCTCACCCATTCTAGTACAGGGGGGCGGCGGGGGGCGGGGGGAGTAAATTTTCAATTCAAAACGAAACGAAAAACTTGCAACTTAAAGGTTCTGATCTAGCATATTTTAAAATATATGCCTGTGTTTGCATTTCATGAGGTTCCACCTACATCCCACTCTGTATATGGACCATATCCTTCCTTGAAGTATTTGTCTCTTGAATTATTTGTCTAAGTTTTCGTGAGGCCAGGGCCACGTTACTCTTTTAATTTGGGGAGTTATATAAATGGTGCCCAGAAGAAGTAGTGTGGGCCTGGGTTCCAGGACTCATGCTCTCAGCCCCAGAGCCTTTTGCATGTCTTTATGGCCTTGAGCACAGCATAAGCCTTGAACATAGCACATTTGAATTTTCCAAAAGTCTATAGTCCTTCAAAATTCTGGACTTTCATCAAGGCTGCCAGTTAAAAGGGACTTTCTCTCTATAGGTAGATTTTTTTGTAGGACTTCCTCTTCTAGTTTAGGCAATTCTGTCCCACACCCTGACATTCCTCTGGCCCATTAAGTTGCCCACATATTTAATTGTCTTACTAGTCTATAAATTGGTGGTCGTCTCCTTACTCAGAACCACCAATTTATAGACTAGTAAGACAATTAAATCTCCTCTTGAGCAAAACGTCTCACATATATGAACTCCAAATTTTCTGGGCTGCTGATATATAATTTGACCATGCAAGCAAAGTTTTGAAGAGAGCTGGCATGGATAGAGTGAGTTAAAAGGGCTGGAGAATTGGTTTACAATGGAGACAAAATGGTGTAGTAAGGGATTCACTGGGCTAGGAGTTGGATGACTAAGGAATCTCTGGTTTTTAATTATGTCTTCATTATACCTCTCTGTGCCACTTAGCAGAAATCATAGCCTCTCTCTGCCTCAGTTTCCTCATCTTCAAAATGAAAAGCTGCTGGTTTCTAAGCCCCTTTCAACATTAACATTCAAGGACACTAAAGGACATCATTGTGTTCAAGTATAAAATTACTAATATGAACACACAATGTCCCATAGGAAAAGGGTAACCAAATGTAGACTAATTCAGCTCCTCACAGTTTATTATTTTGTACATTTACAAAAAGAAAATCTATCAGGGCCACTTCAGGAAAAGAATGAATTCAACTATACCACTAAAACTATTTTAAGAGGAAAAAGTAGTTGTCACTATATGCTTCATTTTCCTGACAACAGATAGTTACATACAGTCTGATGATGTCTTAGGCCCTTTCTAATGCTTTGTTCTTTCATGTGAGTGAATGAATTTTGGGTACCAAAATGTAGTAGGACCACTTTCTTCAATTTTACCCCCAAATCTGGCTTGTTTGGTCTTTAGGAGGAAGAAAATAAACACAGAAGTGTTTATTAAAGAGTGAGATTTGTGAGACAGCCAAAAGTCTTCTTCTGATTGACCCTCATCAGAGAGTCAGAATCTGCCTTATTTTCCTGTCTCCAGGTTGGTGAAGGCAGAAAACATAAAAGTGGCAGAAACACATTTAGAGCCAAAACATTTGCTTCACATAGACACCACCAAAGTGTGATCACAACTAAAAGTTAACCAGTATGTTCCCGGTTCCAAAAGCACATCTGTCTCCCTTTCCCATAAAATGTTTGGTATCTCTAATTTAATTTTGTCTTAAAGTTTTTACTTCTGCAGCTTAAAAGGGGGTATTTTTCTATCACTGCTACTACCCTGACACTTCTAGCTTCTCACGTAGTTTTAAATCAGTACTCTTTTGCTTACTTCTTATCTCTTTTTAATCAGTCAGTTCCATTCACCATTATCCTTAACCTTAAAATTTTAACAGAATGAGAATTAGAGTATACAAGCTAAAATTGAAACATACCCAGTTTCAGAGGCGGGAAACAAAGCTTGGCTCTAAGATCAGTAGAAATACAGTGAAACAATCAGTTTCTTCAAAACAAAAGAAAAATAAATAAAACAATCATACTGAAATCTGTGAAATAGGAGACTGAAAATATGGAATTTTTTTTTTATTTGGAGCTCCTTGATAGCATAAAGCTTATTACAATTTTTCAAACATAGTGAAGGTTTTAGAATGTGGACATTTCTCAATATTTCCAAAGTTTCTGTCTACCTGAGGTTAAATCCTTTGAAAAGACTCCTGTACGTAACAGTATTGAAGAATTTATTAAAGAAACTACTGTGCACTCTTGCCTTATTACTCAGTTAATCCAGATCTATATTTAGAGAGTGGTGCCAGCCAGGTTGAGGCTTCAAAGGAATGAGCACAAATATTTGCCATGTCCTGTGCAGTATAGTTTTGGTGATAGAAAATTCATTTTGGAAAATATCATTCAAGTTAGAGTATAAGCAAATCTCAGCAACCTTCAAATGGATACACAGAAGGTTAACAAGAAAAGCATTGAGGGATTCTCAGTATTCCAAATGAAAGGAAACGAATAACTGAGATTATAGAGCTAGGAGCTTTCTGCATTTAAAAAGCCAGAAATTAAGGCAGACAGCGTTATAAAAATTTTAAAGAAAATAAATTCAGCAAAATTAACAGGACTTCAAGTATCAGTTCAAAATACGGACATATAGGCATAACCATCCTTTCTGATAAGGTTGTCCTGATTTTTTTGGTTCATTCCCCAAATTGCACAGACTTTGGCAACTCATTGATGGGACCCATTGCAAATAACTTTGATCTTCCAGTATAAATTATAACATCAAAACAAGATTTGTTAACACCTAATTTAAAAGAAAAATTCTTTGTGAGGGTTCAGAATCCTAGGCCTGTTTGTTCTTCGATCCATTCCTGGCTCTTTTCCCCTTCTCTGATTTATACCATGGGGTACTGATCCTGAGAGTAGCATTTCCCTGCCTTCCTTAGGACCAGCTGCTGGCTGGGTGTGACCGATGGGAAGAAAGAGTGGGAAAGTGGAGAGATGGAGGATGGGAAAGTCAGGGTATTCCTCACTCCGTCTCCATGCTGTAGCTCTTGCCAAATGCCTGGTGACTCTTGACACTGCCTTCCAGTTAACATTCTTTTTCTCTTGATTCCTTCAGTTTAAGGATTGTAGTGGTTTTATGCTATTGAAAGTGACTGTCCTCTTTGGTTTTTCAGCCCTTCTGTCACTTGTTTTACAGATTACATGAATTAAATTTTCCCTGTGTTGTGTACTTAGAGCAGTTTCTGTTTTCCTAGTTGGAGCCTGACTCCATTGAAAAGCATTACTGGATGACATACATGGAAAACTCTATTATTCCTTGATTCTCTTTAGTTAGACATTCTTTTTTTTTTTTTTAATGTGCTATTTAGAAGTATTAGTAAAGGGTTCAGTCCTCAGAAAAGCTTCTAGAAAGAAATGCAACAAATTTTTAAAAATCAATTTTCTGTGGACATAATATTCAAAGCTATAAAACAAAAATATTATAAACTTTATTGTTTATTAACCAGAACAGAGCTAATACCTAGCTGAGACTGATACATAAATTCCTTGCTAAAAGGAATAGTGGCATAAGATACCTGTCAAAGCTTAATTTTCATCACACATCTTCTGTAGGGCCCACTCATTCTCCAGCTTATTTGCCAGTGGTCACTCTGCCTCCTCATGTCTTACAGAGAGAAAAGAGAAAAAAAAATTTTTTTAAATTATATTACTGATTTGAAATCTCATATACGTGAATCCTTGGGATAATATTTTTAAATCTAAATTATGTCTCCACTTTTTTCTCCTTGTATGTTCTGCTATTGCTTGTCCCCTCCTTTCCTACTCCTATAAGTAAGTAAGTCTCTTGCTAGATAGATGTTCATTGCCCCAGGAAAGAAGAGACCCCCTCCCCCCAAAAAAGGAATAGGGTTGCAGCCTAAGTATCTTTAAGAAACTTCAGGAGGAAGTGTCTGAAACTGGAAAGAGGATCCCCATGGACATACAGCAGGGGAGAGAGAAACAGAAAATGATCAGTGTTTCCTGGAGAAGAAACAAGGAGCTCGGACCTGATACTGGAGAAGTTGCCTAAGAAGAGACCCAGGGTAGACTTGGCAAAGGAGTCCCATGAGGTTATGGTTCTAGCATTCAGGTGTGTAATGGGAAATGAGTCATCACACAAATACTATCTAGATCTCATTCATCTGTACCAGGAATTGTACTAGTTCCTCTTTCCACTGACCAGTCAACACCCCAGGTAGCCACAATGACTGGTCAGGACTTGTCTGGGAGCCACCAGGAAGGGTCTCTTCCATATTTTTTTCTCTGCACTTGAGCATGGAAAGATGTAAACTGCCACCACAGGCAATAGTCTGCTAGAGAATACAGCCAACACAGAAAACAGATTCAAGAGACAGAGAAGGAGAAAGTGGGTGTTGAAGACATTTGAGTCTGGATCAAATTACCTGGCCCTCAAGGTATGTAAGTAAAGCAGTTCTCTTAGCTAAAGTCAATTGGGACTGAATTTTCTGATATTATCGTTGGAAAGAGTCCTAACTGATATGCTTGCCACTAAAAACTGTTCAAGTCCTTCGTGCTATGGCATAGTAAGTACAGAATTTACCCGATGACTAATATTGAGTATTACGCATAGGTTATCAATTTATTATGCTACTGCTACTACGCAGGGGAAAGGAGGGTTTAATATTATCATGAAGGAAATCGCATGTCAAAATCAAATAGGAGTGCCCATTTTTGGTTAAACCTTCTGGGAAGATGAGACTTTTTGCCACAGAGACATTAAACCCTTCTATGACCACTACAGAAAATTCAATAGTTAAAGCTAGAAATGTGAAACAAGGCAGCTTTTGGGCCCTGTTATTTCCCACCTGTTTTATTTATTGCTGTGCACTGCCTCTATTTTCCAGTCCTAGTCGAGTAATAGTAGTTTCTCAAATTGCCCATGCTGCTTCATGTATTAGTACCTTTGCATTAGCTCTTTCCTCAGACTTGAATGAGCTTGCCATACTGTCCACCCTTTAATACTCAGCTTAGTTGCCTCAGCTTCTGTGAA